TATTAATAAGCAAGCAAAGTTAGTCTATTCTATTCTGTTAAGTTATTAATAATTATGATAATAGAGTTGATGATGATATTTCAATGCAAGTATGTGAACCATATGGAATCCACAAGGCAAAACAAAGTGAAGAGAATGAAGGAGTTTATGATGAATGTCAAACATCACCTGAAGATGTTTATGAACGTATGCCGCAATGAAAGGTATTAGAGCAACTTAATATAGAGTAACTGTTGAAACTTTTCACTAGTTTTAGTGTAACAATTGTTTTTACATAGTTTGTGGGAAAAAGAGAATACAACTTTATGAGTGCATTTAAGCTGATTTTGATCACATTTGGATTTTTTAAAAGTATTTACAGTTGCTACCAATAATTACACTATATACATACATGCACATCAACCTGTATATTCCTGACACCTTGGGACCCAATAACACTGTCCTGATTATGAAAGTGTTCTTATTTCAGAGGTTCGTTGGTACACATTAATATTGTATTGGACTTTTCTGAGTCCATAAGTATAATCAAACTGAAATGATTTTGTTTCAGAGTCTTCAAGAGGATTTCTCAATGTCATAACTTGTCCACTGTTGCTGATTATGACTGGTGTCTGCTTGTCTATCTCTCCCTGTTTGTGTACATAAGTATATAGTCTATTAAGAAATAATAATGACATAATACACATTTAATTGTACAATAATAGAAGATATCAATGGTCTAACTTTAATAACAACTCTAGCATTTATTTTCACTTCTTCAAATTGACAAGCTGATAATGAGTCTGATTATAATCAGGAAACCTGGCAGGGGGGTCCTGACTAATCCTGATGTGAACTGAAAACATAATGCATGTATTCACTGAGATTTAATACCAGTACTTAGATGGTGTGCATGGTTTGAGTGATGTGCATTTGTCACAATAAACATGTTATTGTTTTGGATTGTCGTAGATCTAGCTTATTGTAAGGAAAAGTAAACAAATTTTAATGAGTGACACATACATTTTATGCAGTTTACTTATGTAAAAGAAAATTAGCATGTATAGTTTACTTTGTCAAAAATAAGAGAACTGTAACAGAGCTAATTCTATTCAGTCTATTTTTAAAATGGCATTGTCAGTATCAGAAGGGATTTTAGTCTTAATGTTGAGTGTCAGTAAAGTTATTAGTCAATGTCCACCTTCCTCAGGTAAGACACTGGATGTGTATAATAACAACTGTATAGGTTTTTATAGGTATCTACCTGAGGCATAATGGAGCCTGTTATACTAATGGATCATATTTTTTTGATGCTGATATTACAGGAGCCAGTAACAGTATCATGTGTGTGTTATTTGATACTACTCTGAATGGTGGAGAATGGGTTAATGTTACTAGTGGATCATCAGTTAACTGCAGTACTAATCCTCTTCGTTGTAATGAGGTATCTTCACCTAATGCTAACATCAGTCTTTACATTGATGGAGGCTTTACACCATCTGATGATGGCTGGTACAAGTGTTGTCTACCCACTAATTGTTCTGATTCTAACACTAACATCATCTTTGCTAATATATTCAGTAAGTGTTCTCATTAAACTGGCACATGCTGTCAACTCTTACTGCATTTACTATAGGATGGGTACAGATTGAAACCATCACAGTTGACCTTCCCTCAGATATAACAGTTCTACCTCAAACATATACACTACATGCCATTAAAATTGGTAGTAATGCTCACAGTTCTTTTTTACATGCTGCCAATTGGTACTATGAGTCTGATAGCAGTAGTACTCAACTCTGCACTGGACATAGGGCTTCATACAGTTGTACATTCATGTATGGTGATGGAATGTCAGTAGATTATGGTAATGGAAGGTGGGACTATACACTAAATGTTACATGGAGTGGAGAAATTATTACTAATGGAATATTGAGTCAATCAAACAATAACGGGGATCATGTATTTAGATTCTATTTAAATTTTGGTCATATCCATCACAGCCCAGTAATAAGAATTAGAGACATTTTTGTAACAGGTAAGTAGCAATAAAATGATTTCATTATTTTCTATAGTGCCAGCAACTGCTCCCTCTTCTCTTACTGAGGTCAACAAGACAGCTACCACTATCACTGTCAGTTGGACTGCACTTGATTCATCTGATGCTGATGGATATGTAGTCAATGTCACTAGTGACACAGACACTGGGCAGACAGTACAGGTGGAGGGAAGTAGAAATAATACAATCACACTGAATGGACTGAGAGGAGGAACAACTTATACCATCACAGTCAGAGCCTATCAACAATTACTGGGACCTGCTAGTACAATCAGTGTACAGACCTTACCAGGTATTGCTACTGCAGCTTTTAATGTACTATTTATAATTAACATTGTTGATGTATTTCTAGTTGTTAATTCAATCAATTGGACACTAGTCTCATCCATTACACAACTCAATAACACTCAATATCGTATTGATTGTCTCACAACTACTGATATAAATCCTTCAACTGATGTTTACTGGTTAGTGAATGGAGTGATGAAGAGTAACTCAAACTATTCATCAATTGATGTCCTGACATACAACAACACACTACTGGTATATCCTGATCCACTGGGAGTGTCAGTTAATGTTACCTGTATAGCAATAATTGGAGGAGTCAACTACAGTCAATCTGTGATATTACATGGTATGATTATACATTTATCAATAGTAGATACCTTTGTCTCTTTTCTATAGCTCCTAGTGGTCCTCCAAATAATGTGAGAGGGTTTATATTAAATGCTACTAGTATCAAAGTGAACTGGACTAATTCATCAGAGACTAATGGATATGTGATTGAGTATACTACTGGAGGTGTAACCAGGAATGTAGTATCTACCAGTGAAAATGAAATTGTACTAACAGATCTCTCACCAATGAGTACCTATACCATCAGTGTGTACTCATATATAGAGCTTCCTTCAGTTAATAGTACAGTAACAGTGTTAAGATTTGATGGTGAGTTATTATCATTGATAGAGTGTAATTGATATCTTGCTCTAGTTCCTAGTCCAGTAACTAGTCTCTCAGTATCTAATGTCTCAACCACTGGTATTACAGTGAGCTGGACTATTCCCAGTAGTGACAACTATGTAACATATTACACCATCATCTATACTCCATCTTGTCCCCAGTTATCATCAGTGAATGAGACAGTCTCTGTTGCTCCTCATCAGTCCACTACAACATACAGTTATACATTAATAGGTCTGTACAGTGGTATGAACTATACCATCACAGTGAGAGCTGGTAATGTACTAGGAGGATCTGAATTAAGTATGAGCCTATTGGTACAAACTGAAGCAATAAGTAATGATACTTATTCTTTCAGTAATTGTTTAATTGTAATTTTCAGTTCCTAGTGGTCGACCATCATCAATTCAAGTCTTACCAGTTAATCCTACAGCTAATAGATTCACTTGGAATGAGGTCAATTGTTCTCAGCGTAATGGTCTAATCACAGGCTATACAGTGATTATCAGTAACAGTAGTATCACATACAACCTCACCAGTACTGAGAGATATATCATATTGAATGATCTAGTATTTGGTACTAAGTATAACATCAGTGTAGCTGCTGTCAATTCTGTTGGAAGAGGCCCCTTCAGTGATCCTATTGAAGTAGAGATTGGAATAGGTATGTAATTATTATACTATATCAGTTCTGTGAGACTGTGTCTTTATGTAGTACCTGGTCCAGTTGGTTCAGTATCCAGTATCATGGACACTACATGGGCTGTTATCTCATGGAGTGTACCTAGTTATATTCCATCAGACTATCCCATTATCACATATGAGATAGGATATCATATCTTACAGTCTGGTGGTAACTGTTTGATGGTAAATGATGATGACTTTAATACTGAAATATTGCAACTACATAATTCAACCAATACTTATATTAGCATTACTGGTCTTAATGATATGTCTTACTTTATTTTTGGTGTACGTGCATACACTGATAATGGATATGGAGAATGGACAGTTATTGCTAATGAAACATTAAAACTACCACAACAATTATCATTTAACTGTGATACATCAGACAGTGTTATTGGTCTTAGTGTGTTAGTGGGTATATTGTGTGGTCTACTAACTGTCAGTGTTATTATTAATATCTTCAGCTTTATGAGGTAGAATTTACATACTTAGTACAATAAATTATTGTTGTTTTCTTATAGAAAGAAAAGTTCATGTACTATTAATAAGCAAACAAAGTTAGTGTATTCTATTCTGTTAAGTTACTTAATTATGATAATAGAGCTGATGATGATATTTCAATGCAAGTATGTGAACCGTATGGAATCCACAAGACTAAACTAAGTGAAGAGAATGAAGGAGTCTATGATGAATGTAAAACATCACCCGATGATGTGTATGAACATATGCCGCAATAAATGTACTAGAGCAACTTAAGAGTAACTCTTAAAACATTTTCACTAGTTTTAGTGTAGCAATTTATTTTACATATAGTTATACAGTACATAGTTTGTGTGAAAAAGAGAATACAACTTTATGAGTACACTTAATAGTTACTGTGTAGTCTTGTGGATGTGGCACGAGATCTGATTTTAGCAAATTACATGTACTGATCAATCCTCCTATGAGTCCTATCTTTATTTCTTGTCCATCTAAAGAGAGAGCAAAAATACATATTAATAAAGACTTTATACTTGCACCAAGATTCCATTCCAGTCACATTGTTTAAAACATATATACACTGTAGTTTACTATAAAAACATAATGGTTAAATAAAGATATTACAGTACAAATTTTGATCAAATTAATAATGGCAATATCAAGTTTTTGTGTACCTCCGGCTTTTCTGTTGACAAATACCCGATAAGTTAATGCTTTGCTAAAGTCAGTACTGTGTTGATCATGTTTACTTATGATCTCTGATTTCTAAAATTATAATAATACTTGATGCACTATTAATATAATAATCTCTCAATACTTTTGATTCATAATAATCTTGTACATCAGGTCGTATTGAATCTATATCTCTAATAATAACGTTTAGAATAAAACTATACAATAATAAAATTATTAAGACATTTCCACCGCCCAACAAAACGAGCACAAGGCAAATTAAATTATTTTGTTATTATTGAAAAAAGACCCATTGTTCAGTAAGAGCAGAGTTTGCTCTCTTCTGTGCCTATTTAAACAATAAATGGACCTGCAATATCACTCCCTACAGTCAGTGTAGGCAGTAACAGCAAGAAATAGAAAACAAAGAGAAAGGTGAATAGATTATCCACCCACTCTGCTGGCGGAGTGGGAGGGGTAGCTAGCTAGGCGGATTATAAAGATGGCGTCATCCACTGAAGATGTTTATATCACTTCTGCTTCTTCCTTGGACCTTGAACAAGAGGAAAGGCGACTAGAGGAGCTCACCCCATCACTCCCTCCTCCTTCGTCTCACAGCAGCCTCTGTCGTAGGAGACGAGAGAAGATATACAGTCTGGGATACAGCTCCGAAGAGAGACGCGATACAAGACGAGAAGCAGCCAAAGCTTTCTTTCTCTCCATACCACTAGACTCAGAGCTAGAACAGAAAGAAGAGACCGATGAACGGAAAGAGTCTGAACCGCCCAAAGAGCCACCAGTTCCATTAAAACTCTCCTCTATCACAGAATTACTCTCACCACTGACCACTCAGCCTATTAGTGTTACAGCTAACTCCTCAGGCCTACAGTTCACTCGGGATGTAGGATCAGCTGACTCACCACGACGTAGTCGAAAGAACAAGAAGGTTCAAGGCTCCTCCTCTTTTTCACACGTTAAGAAGCTATCTTATGGGAGTGGGTCTGTGCATCAATCTGTGAAGACTTTGAGATCCTTTAGTATAGAACCTGAAGACAGGAGGTACGAGAGAGAGAGAGAATGAAAAAGATGGGGTTTTGTTAGATATTGCAATATGTACTGTATTTATGTACTTTTCATGCAGGTTAGGGTTTGTATATAATGGATATCCTGTTGTATTATATTCACTTGTGCCATATTCTAAACCTTCAAGGTAAGACAAGGAAAATAAAGAAATTATTATTATTATTGTTATTGTAATTTTAATAGAGCTGATACAGTGCTGACAGGGAGAGCTCGTACGAGTAGTATCAGTGTACAGCTGGAACTGGATGGGGTAGACTTAGGGGACCCCACCAAAGTGAGGATACATCTCTTATTATTGTAATGGCTTATAATTCATGTAGGAAGTATCCTTATCTTCATTGTTAGAACCAGTGTGGAGATTAGAGCCACATATTGATCAGTCTAAACAAACTGCACTGAACAGGTACTGAGTACTGTTATTAAAATTTAAATGTGTGGGTATTACGACAAAATTTAAAGCAAAAACCACAGGATATAATAATTATTTATAGTTGGGCATGTTCCCTTCAGATCTTTGTTACTCAAAATTTTGATCAGCTAACACAATATATCTATTACAAATTATATTTGGTGCCCATGCAGGTCAGCAAAGAAAGCCCCTGTCCTGATTCACCAGTCTTCACTGAGGGACGTTGGAGACAATGCTACCACAACTGGAGTACCTTCAAGACCTTATGCTCCTCAATCCTTCAAAGAGAACCACTCGTCTCAATATGTTAACCTCAATTATGACCCACGGTCCCTCGACAATCCGGAGTATTTCAAAGGACGCAATGTTACGACTCTTAATCTCGCTAGCTATAGAGTGTCACTGGTTAAATATGCCAGGGAGAGAGAGGTGAAGAAAGAGATTAATAATCAATTTGCAGAGATATTCCCGTACATCAAACTAACTCTATCAAAGCTAAGAAGGTATAGAGCAATCATAATAATGATAATAATAATAGCTTTTCTTTGTTTTTAGTATCAAAAAAGAAATGATATCAGTTGGAACTGAGGTCTGTGGCATTGAGTACTAATGATTAATAATATTTTCTTTCCTTCATTTAGTGTGGGGTTGACCCTGTAATTATTGCTCATTCCCTCGTCTACTTTGAAAAGCTTGTGCTCATGGTAAGATTAGTCAGGCTTTACCACAATTAAAAAATTAATTTTGTTTGGAACTTTCTGCACAGCATAGGAGCATGTATATGCATTAGAAAAAAATTATAAAAACACAGAATTTTATCCTAGCCATTTTTGACTAAATTTGGGCCAATACCCTATAGTACAGGAACTTTGGCCTGATTTTTGAGTGACTTCAAAAATTCATAAAAAAATCAACATTGATTGGAATCAGCTCAAACTTGGTACACAAGATAAGAACATGTATTTGTATCAGAAAAATTATAAAAATGAAAAATTTTCTTCAGTCATTTTTAGCAAATTTTGACAAAATACTCTGTACTATAGTACAGGGACTTTGGCCGATATTTAAAGGAATTCCTTTATTTGATTAGGGGAAGGTCAGTAAATCCACTCGGAAGTTGCTAGCAGGTGCCTCACTTTTATTAGCCGCCAAATTCTCCAGTGACATGAAGAGACCAAATATAAAGACCTTAATTGAAGTAAGACTGTAAACCATGTTTTTAACTTCACTCCTCTCTCTCTCTTTAAGGAAATGATTGATAAGTTTAGGTTCTCGCAAAGGGAACTGTTACTATATGAATTCCCAACTCTAGTGGCGCTAGATTTCTCTCTCCTAACTCCAATGCACCAAATAAAACCACACATTGATCATATATTATCTCTTGAATAACAAAAAAAGCCAATCTCAACCTAATCAGAGTATAAATGGTATGAATGCTTTTCTGTCTTTAGGATAGTCCTCCATTTTAGTCAAGTAATACCTAAAGTATAAATGGATATACATGTAGTCAGACTAGTCACCCCCTCATCCTCTTTTAACAGTAGCTGTCATCAAGGGGTTATAGCTGCTTACTTGTGATGGTTGATTGCTCTTGTTCCTATCATTGATGCTGTGAGTACTGCAAACATGACTGCTGGAAGGTTCCAACAGGCTATAGCAAATCCTATCCATTCCACTGTCTCGCCAAAATAATTTGCTCCAGATACATATTCAAAGAATCCACCTGCAATTTAAACGAATTGTCAACATCTCATAAAATTTACTTGTACATACCTCTTGGTATTTTGTATCCGGTTTCTCCCGGCTTACGAAGGTTTCTTAAAATACTGTCAGAGTGAAGGTTGATGGCCATACCGATCAGAAAGAGAAGATGCCCTACAAAAAATTGAGGACTCCATAGCCAGCTTATGTCATAATGATAGAAATGAGTGAGAGCTCTTGCTTGTAGGTAGCCATTGCTTGCGCAGAACACAAAAGCGAATGCGACTATTAGAATGGGGCTGGGTTTAGAGCCACTGTTTATCAGAAACGAATAAAGAAATGTCCTAAAAATAAGTATTACAATTTTGACTCTCAAATAACAAACAAGCCAATTAAAAGAGATTTCTCTTTTTTTAGAGCAAATTTTACGTACCTGTTTAAATAATGCATCAGGAACATTCCCAGTAGTATGATATTAGGATTAAACTCTCCCACCTGATCTCCACCAACATTCAAGAGACAAAAGAGCGGGATTACCACTGCTGGTAGCTCCTGTATTAGCCAACCTACCTTTGGTGGCAGTGTCCATATGGAGTTAATGGAGTAGAGGAGAGAGCCAGGTTTGTGATAGCGGCCATAAGGAACCTCATAATTGATGAGCTGTATACCAATGACAAGGACAGAGGTCAGCAAGTGAACAAATATCATGATCCCCTGACAAATGAACCAGTCTCTGCCATCATTTAAATATTGTATCAATCCAGCCATTATGCAACCAAAATGAGCCACTCCCACTATCTAAATCTATTTATTGGAGGAGCTCATAAATTACATGTATTTTAAACTTTTTGTATATTTTTCTTTGCTAAAAAGAACTCACAAGAGCAAATAATAATATGCAAATAAAAAGTAAGTTGTATATTATTTTGGAAAATGCATGCTACAGCTGTCGTAATGTTTTAAAAAGAGTCCAACATCCAATAGATCCACGGACTGTGCAGCAACAAACTCAACATAATTACCAAACCACAGCTCCCACGAGTCACGAGGCAGCTTCATCATCAATCGTGTTATCTTGGTCAAATATTCTTCAACTGGAGCCTTGTACAAATTCTGTGATATTCCCTGAAAGAACAATGAAGGCAGGGCACTGTTTTCACAAAGGAGCGAGTTCCTCCGGCCATTCTTTGACGAGAAACTCGAATGAATTTCGTTCCTTTTCATCAGTTTGCTATACCTTCCTTGCCATAGCTTGAACATGAAATACTGTCCTCCATTTTTAAACTCTGTTTCATTTATGTTATACTTGTCAGTCAATGGACACTCTCTTGCTTTACAGACCCGATCAACAAGGCTCACAGTCAACATGGAACCGGCAATGGCTCTCAAGTGCTCTCCATGCCACTTGACCTGATCTAGAGGCAGTGGCAGACCAAAAGCTTTCTCCATTAGTATGCTTTGCTCCGAGTCAGTCCACACATTAACTGATATACTGATGGAGAGAGACTCCACATAATGAAACCACAATGGCGGCATATAGAGGAGGTCACCAGGTTCCAGTGTTACCTCATACACCTCTAACCTTGAGCTCAGTGGGAACTCCTTAGCATCCTCCAGCCTTGAGAGATTGACCTGAGCTTGAGCGTGGCTTGGATGAAGGAAAGGATAAGGATACAAGCCAGGCCATTGTGTCGGGCGGAGTAAAGTGAATTTCTTTGTCCCATAGAGCTGTGCATAGAAATTATGATACCCATCATAGTGTGTGTGAGCAATGACATTAGGCTGTCCAATCCATACGTTGATTGAGGATCGAGACGGATTAGGTGATAATAACTCGTCGATTGGTTCTACATCACCAAACGCCCACTCACCCAATTGATCAATATCACTAGTGAGGTAGTGATATCGACCGGGCAAAGGATTCTCAAGTCTTTAAAAAACTCTGACCCGAGAGAGAG